GCTTGCCTAGTATGCATGAAGCCCTGGGTTCGATTCCTCAATACCACATAAGCTGAAAAAGCCTAAAAGTAGTGCTGTGGCTCAAGTGCTAGCCTTGAGAGAAATAAAGATCAGGGACAGTGCCCAGGCCCTGAGTTCAAGTCCCAGGACTGGCAAAAACAAAAACAAAACATGAAGTGGCGCTGTGGCTCAAGTGGTAGATCGCTAGCCTTGAGCTGAAGAGCTGAGGGTCAGCACCCTGGCCTAGAGTTCAAGCTCCATGACCGACACCCCCCCCCCAAAAAAAAAGACTCCTTCTCCTTTGGGCTGGGAAGGTGGCTCAGTGGTAGAGTACTTGCCTCACATACATAAGGCCCTGGGTTCGATTCCTCAGCACCACATTAACAGAAAGAACCAGAAGTGGTGCTATGGCTCACGTGGTAGAGCACTAGCCTTGAGCTGAAGAGCTCAGGGACAGCGCCCAGGCCCAGAGTTCAGGCTCCACAACCAACAAAAAAGAAAGAAAAAAATTTTTAATTAAAAAAAGGAAAGAAGGAAGGCCTGTAATCCTAGCTACTTAGGAGGCTGAGATCTGAGGCTCACAGTTCAAAGCCAGCCCAGACAAGAAAACCTGTGAGACTTATTGCCAGTTAATAGCAAAAAGCCAGAAGTAGAGTTGTGGTTAAGTGGTAGAGTGCTAGCCTTAAGTATATAAAAAGCTGAGAAAGTGCCCAGGCCCTGGGTTCAAGTCCCCCCAAAAAAGTGTGCTTTTTGCTGCACACCAAAAGGTCAAGTGCTTATCGTTCTTACTTTTCCCCCCAGTGGCCAACGATCTGTATTGTCATATGGGTAAGTTGAGGACTGTGGAAAACTTCCCAGTGACCTGGTTCACAGAGAAGATTGAGATATGTGAGGACAACCAGTTGCTTTGCCAAGAAACAGTAATAATGATCAAATCAGGTAAAATGAGACAGGGCGGTTGAGTGTGAGGGGGTAATCATGTTGTTTCCTCTACCGGGACAAGCAGGCCCCCCTTCCCCCTCTCCCTTCCTCCTCCTCTCCTCACAGGATCCAGGATAGCTATTTTGGCTACTAAAGGCTGTGTCTCTGAAGGATCCAAAGCTGTGACTTACATCCAGAACTCAGAATTCCCCGGCCTGATTGTAGTCTCCTACAGCAACTACTGCGACATTTCCCTGTGCAACGACATAAAGTACTTATCACGGATTTGGAAACCACGAGAGGAGATCCCAGGTGCCCAGCAAGGCGGGAGATAAGTGCCAGGAGAAATGCCACACACACACACACACACACACACACACACACACACACAGCTGATGACCTATCCTGTTCTACATTGTTTCCTTTGGAGTCTTAAGGACTGCTCAGAGCAGAGAGCTGCCAGGACCTCTTTTTATTTAGTTTTTGCTGTTGGTATTTTTTTAGTGCCAGTACTAGGGTTTGAACATAGTGAGGGCTCTAACATTTGAGACATACCTCCAGTTCTGGCCCTGTCTTTTCTCTCATTTATTGTGTTGGATCTGGGACTGATAAATAGAATCCTTAACCATAGAGATATATGAGATATATAATATATATACTTATATATTTTTACTTATATATTAATTTTTTGTCAGTCACTGAACTTGAACTTAGTCCCTAAGCTCTTTTTTGCTCAAGGCTAGTGCTCTACCACTTGAGCTACAACACCACTTTCATTTTTCTGGTGGTTAGTTGGAGGTAAGAGTCCCACGGACTTTCCTGCCCAGGCTGTCTTTCAACTACAATCCTCAGACCTCAGCCTCCTGAGTAGCTAGGAGGCATGAGCCACCAGCACCCAGCAGTGTGGGCTGTTAAAAACAACAGGTGCCAGTGATTCAGGCCTATAATCCTACATCCTCAGAAGGCTGAGCTCTAAAGATCTTAGTTCAAAGCTAGCCCAGTGGGGCTGGGAAGGTGGCTCAGTGGTTAGGTGCCTGCCTTGCATGCATAAGGCCCTGGGTTCAATTCCTCAGCACCACATAAGCAGAAAAAGCTGGAAGTGGTGCTGTGGCTCAAGTGGTAGGGCGCTAGCCTTGAGCTGAAGAGGTGAGCAACAGTGCCACGCCCTGAGTTCAAGCCTCAGTACTGACACATAAAAACAAAACAAAACGATGCAGCCTTACTTGTGTCTATCATCTGAATATAAACTCTATGGGTTTTTGTTTGTTTTATTTTGTGCTTTTTATGGCACTGGGGTTTGAACTCAGAGCCTCATGTTCGCTGGGCAGGTGCTCTACCCTTTGAGCCACACCTCCAGCCCTCCACGCCACAACTTAATGGATCTTCAGATCTCAGGTGGGCTCACATCCTCCAGCCTTTGTTTTTGCTGTTTCTTTTGCTTCCTCCACCTACACCCCATTTTCATATCATCCACCTGCATCCATTCTCCTTCGCCACGCAGACTTCACCTCTTCCAAGATATTTACTGTAGGGGCAGGGAAGGTGGCTCAGTGGCATGCCTTGCATGCATGAGGCCCTAGGGTTGATTCCTCAGCACCACATAAGCAGAAAAAGCCAGAAGTGGCGCTGTGGCTCAAATAGTAGACACTTGCCTTGAGCTGAAGAGCTGAGGCACAGCGCCCAGGCCCAGAGTTCAAGCCCCAGGACCTGCCAAAAAAAAAGAAGAAGAAGATATCTGTGTTGCACACAACCCTGAGCTGCATCATTGTGTATTGCTCACGTGTCTTTTTCCTTGGAGATCCAGGTGCCGGAAGGTGCCTTTGTCAGCCCTCCATCTCCCCACCTAAGCAGGCATCCATGTGCTATAGAGGAGATTGTGACAGGTGGCCTAGGAGCCAGGGGTGGAGGGGCAGCTGCAGCAAGACGGCAGCAGGACAGATGTGGGGGAGCAGCAGGACAGATGTGGGGGAGAAAAAGCAATGAGACAGGACACCACTCTTTCTAATTTTCTTTTTCGCCAGTCCTGGGCTTGAACTCAGGGCCTGAGCGCTGTCCCCTGAGCTTTTGCTCAAGGCTAGTGCTCTACCACTTGAGCCACAGCGCCATGTATGGCCTTTTTCCTTTTCTTTCTTTTTTGTTGGTCATGGGGCCTGAACTCTGGGCCTGGGCACTGTCCCTCTGCTCTTCAGCTCAAGGCTAGCGCTCTACCACTTGAGCCACAGCGCCACTTCAGGCTTTTTCTGCTTATGTGGTGCTAAGGAATCGAACCCAGGGCCTCATGCAGGCAAGGCAAGCGCTCTACCACTGAGCCACCTTCCCAGCTTCACGGCTCTTAACTATTGCTCTCATCCCCTCCAGTGTTCAATACGTCCACCAGCATCCACTGCCCCACCTGTGTGGCTCTGGGATCCTGTTTCAATGTTTCCTCTCTGCCTTGTCCCCGCGGTATAAATGGATGCTACGCAGGGAGAATCATGTTCTCAGGAGGTAAAGTGACATGCGCGTCAGGCGGCTCCGCCCCTCAGGATTTCCCTGTGAGTCCCTAACACGCATGTCTCCCATCCCTTCTTGTTCCACAGAAGGCATTGACTCGCCTGTGGAGGTCAAAGGCTGTTCAAGCATGACCCATTGCGAGCTGATGAATGGATTCTCCATGATAGGACCCCTCTCTGTGTCGGAAGTGTGCCCGCGTCCCTCTTTCCTGCAACGAAGGGCTGAAAGCAGGGCGCCCTGGCCGTGCCTGCCAGGACGGGGTTTACAGCTGCTGACTCCGTTGCTGGGGCCGCTGGCCCACCTGCTCTGAGGAGGCGTCCCGAGCGCCGGAGCTCAGCGTCTCCGCTTCCACTGTGCACCTCCGCCGCTGCCCCGCCAGGCCATGGGTATGCTGGACAGGAGAAAGACACACTGCATGTATCCGACATACCCAATAAAAGTTGCCTGTGATTTGTGTGTGTGCCTCAAGATCAGAAGTGGAGCTGGGCGCTGGTGGCTCATGCCTGTCATCCTAGCTACTCAGGAGGCTGAGATCTGAGGGATTGCAGTTCAAAACCAGCCGAGGCAGGAAAGTCCAGGAGACTCTTTATCTCCAGTGAACCACCTGGAAATCGGGAGTGGAGCTGTGGCTCACAGTGGTAGAGCACTAGCCTTTAGCAAAATTGCCCAAGAACAGTGCTCAGGCCCCAAGTTCAAGCCCCACAACAGACAAAAAAAAAAATTAGAAGTAGCATTTTAGCATTGGCTTCCCCCATCCCACATTTTCCAGCCGGAGTATCTGACCTCTGGAAAACAAGAGCGAGTTGCTTACATTTACACAACATATGGACAAGGCCGCGTGTGGTGAGGCCTGCCTGCCATCCTGCACGGGCTGCATAGCAAGGCCACATCTCAGACAAAACGGATTGAGAACCAGAGCTAGGCGCAGAGCCAGCGTGTGAACTTAGCTCCTTTGACTATGTGATTGTTTTTTTCTCTCTACCAGGCCACCATCCCCACGCCACTCCCAGATCACATGAAGGTAAAGCCAGATGATCTGTGTGTTAGTTCCTAGGAGGCCTGGCAGAGTGGAAACTCTGACTTGTCTGTTTCTCCAGTGAAAATGGCCCTGTTTCCCTATATGGCGTGGTGAGTGAAATAAGGCAGACACACAGATGCTGGAGTTGTGTGAATTCTTTTCTACAAAAAGCACAAACAAACTGGGTGCTGGTGACTCACACCTCTAATTCTGGCTATTCAGGAGGCTGAAATCTGAGGCTTGTGGTTCAAAGCCAGCCCAGGCAGAAAAGTCCATAAGACTACTCCTGAACCAGAAATGGAGCTATGGCTCAAGTGGTAGAGTGTTAGCCTTGCACATAACAAGCTCAGGAACAGCACTAAGGACTGGAAAAACAACAAAACAAAAAACAAACTGAGTCTCTCCCAACTGAGACACAGGTAATCACTGATTGCTGAAATGCAAGGAAATTGACACTGGAAATACCTTGTTTTGTTTTTTAGAAAATTTTATTTCAATATTATTTCTATGTTCAAGTCCCTTTTCTAGGGGATGACACTTAGAGACCAGATTAATCCACACCCTTTGATGGCCACATCCTGCTTAATTTCACTTGGCTTATGGCAGACACCACAAAATATCTGTAAGTAGTTATATAAATTTGTACAACTTACAAAATTTATGGAAATAACTTTTTTTTTTTTTGGTCAGCTGTGGGGCTTGAACTCTGGGCCTGGATGCTGTCCTTGCGTTCTTCAGCTCAAGGCGAGCGCTCTACCCCTTGAGCCACAGCACCACTTCCAGTTTTTTAGTGGTTTTACTGGAGATAAGAGTCTCATGGACTTTCCTACCCGAGCTGGCTTTGAACCTCGATCCTCAGATCTCAGCCTCCTGAGCAGCTAGGATGGCAGGCGTGAGCCACTGGCACCCGGCTGGAAATACCTTTTTAAAAATGACTTTGAGTGCATGTACATTTGTAATGTGAGGATGTTTCACAGTGAGGTTCACTTTGAGCACAACAGTTCACTTTGAACACATTCACCCCTTCCATCACATCCCCCCCATGCAATTAGGGGTGATCACTCCCAAATATCGATTCCCGAGGGGAAAACCCCAAAAGTCTTCAGTGACAATTCTCAGGGCAGGATTGAAAGGCAGATGGCAACGTTTTGGCCATAAAATCTCTAGTGTTATTATCTACTCCGCTTCTCAAGGCCTGTGAGCCCCTGAGGGGGAGGCAGGGAGGTCACCCCAAGAACCCCCAAGCCCAAGGTCCTAACAGAAGCAACAGCTGGGACCAGCCTAGCCCCTCCACCACACAGCTGTCCTAATCTGCTGCTACCAGGCAACCCAACCAGCTCCTCCTGTTCCGGGAGCTTCTAGAACCATTTGGTCTGATTATTTTTACAAGCAGCCAGCTTCCCTGGGAAACTGGCTTGTGCAAACCTCTAAATTTCCCTTGCTCATAAAATGGAAATAATTATAGCCCTGACTTTCCTGCTACATATGGGTGGCAGCTCCGCGTTTGGGCATGCACCTGGTGAGGTCCCGGCCACAGCTCAGAGACAGCACAGCTTTGCGGAAAGTCAGCACAGCGCACACCAACATCTGTATTTACAAACTAACACTTTACCTGAGGCAAAAAGTCCAGCCAAGTGCTCGTGGCTCATGCTTGTCATCCTAACTACTCATCAGGCCAAGATCTGAGGATCATGGTTCAAAACCAGCCTGGGCAGGAAAGTCCATGAGACTCTTCTCTCTGGGGAACTACTAGAAAAGTAGCACTGTGGCTCAAAGTGGTAGAGCGCTAACCTTGAGCAAAAGAGCTCAGGTAATAAAGGCAAAAATTGATTTTTAAGGCAATAGGTAAATAAGTAGATAGAAAATAGGTAGATAATTGACAGACTACAGGTTGACAAATGATATATAGGTAAATGATTGATAGGTTGATAGATGAATGATAGATGTAGTTAGGTAATGGATATAGGTAGATAGGTAAATAGATGGATATGCAGATAGATAGATGATAGATAGGTATGCAGGTAGAGAGAGCATTTGTAGCACACACACACACCCTTGAGCCCAACATTCTAAAGGCAATCAGAGTCACTCCTGGCTTGAAAGCAGGTAGCCAGGCCATCTGTGAAGGTTTAAAAAGTTCCTGTCGTAGCTAGGTACTGGTGGCTCATGCCTGTCATCCTAGCTACTCAGGAGGCTGAGATCTGAGGATCACAGTTTAAAGCCAGCCCGGGCAGGAGACTTCGTGGGACTCTTATCTCCAATAAACCAGTCAGGAAACCAGAAGTGGCGCTGTGGCTCAAGTGGTAGAGCACTCACCTTGAGCTGAAGAGCTGAGGGACAGCGCCCAGGCCCAGAGTTCAAGCCCCACAACCGACAAAAAAAAGTTCCTGTGAGTCTAACACAGTTTGTGTGTGTGTGTGTGCGCGCGCGCACACATGCGTGTTTAGGAAAAATAGAAATGGCTGTTTTTAAGTCCCTGCTGACCAAATTTAAAGAGCAAATGACCTGAAGATCTAACCTTCTAACAAACTCCACACTGGGTTACAAAAGTCTCACTGCTAAAGTTCTCTCCTAGATTGGCCCTGACCCATTTCCCCCACCTCGTCTCCATCCACAGACGAGCCATACACCCCGCCCTTGTGGGATTTAGCTGAGTTAGGGTTTGGCTGAGCTGAGCGTGGCATAGCAGCCACACAGCACTAATGCTGGGAGGGTCTGTGAACCGAACGTAGATGCTCAGCCGGCAATGTTCCTTCAGGCCACCAGAGGGCGATCGAAAAACACCAAACCAGGGCACTGCTGCTCCTGCCTGTCATCCTAGCTACTCAGGAGGCTGAGATCTGAGCAAGGTTCAAAGCCAGCCTGAGCAGGAAAAAATCTGTGAGACTCTTATCTCCAATTGACCAGGAAAAAGTCAGAAGAGGAGCTGTACCTCAAGTGGTAGAGCACCAGCCTTGAGTGAAAAAGCTAAGGGACAGCCCCGGGCCCCCAAAATCAGTTAATTTAAAAAAAGTGAAGGCCAAGAAAGAATGGGCGTTTCATTTCTCTCTGCTTTGTTAGTTTCTTTTAATATTGTACGGTGGAAAGTTACTCCTGTATTGTTTAGGTAATTAAAATTGAATAAGCCTTTTATTAAGTACACAGCATACCACACACACCTGGGAAGAAGAGGAACTCGCAAGGTCAGTGTCAGCTGACCCACCCTGTCCTGGTCATCCCGCCTTGTCCCCAACGAGCCCCACCTGGTGTTGAAATCTGTTTTCCACGTGTGCACCTCAAAGCCCCAACCTTGGACAGAAAAACAAGTCTAGGGAGAGATTTGTCATGTTCTCTTCTATGATGACTTTCCTGCCCAGGCTGGCTTTGAACTGTGATCCTCAGATCTCAGCCTCCTGAGTAGCTAGGATGACAGGTGTGAGCTATTGGCACCTGGTGAGACGGGTCACTTTTAGATGAGTAAATATAGCCCATCCCCCACAACCACAAGTTCCACAGCTGAAGATTCAACTAACCACAGATGGAAAATATGTTGGGGGGTGCACCTGTGCGGAACATGTGCAAATTATCTTTTTTTTTTTTTGCCACTTACGGGGTTTGAACTCTGGGCCTGGGCGCTGTCCCTCAGCTCTTCAGCTCAAGACGAGCGCTCTACCACTTGAGCCACAGTGCCACTTCTGGCTTTTTCTGCTTATGTGGTGCTGAGGAATCCAACCCAGGGCCTCATGCATGCAAGGCAAGGGCTCTACCACTGAGCCACCTTCCCAGCCTGTCTTTCTCTCCTTATTGCTTGAACTCTATAGTACGTGTTCTTTATAGCAGAAGCTATTGTCTGTAACCTGAGATGAAGCTGGTGATGTATACCTGTGATCCCAGCTACTCAGAAGGCGGGGGTAGGAGGATCGTGGTCCCAGGCTGTCCCTGGAAATGTTCATAGAAGAGTCTACCTGAGAAAGCAACTAAAGCCAGAAAAGGCAGAGGTGTAGAACAAGTTGCAGAGCATGTGCTCAGCAAGTTGAGGCTCTGAGTTCAATCCTGTCCTCCTCCTACTAATGTCAAATGTGGTTTGATAAATTGCTAATATGACCCAGCAAAGTAAGTTCCAGGAGTAAGAGTAAAGAAACAGCTGGGTGTTAATGGCTCACGCCTGTCATCCTAGCTAACTGAGGAGGCCGAGATCTGAGGATCGGATTCAAAGCCAGCCAGGGCAGGAAAGCTGGTGAGATTCTTATCTCCAATAAACCAGCCAAAAGTTGGAATTGGTGCTGTGGCTCAAATGGTAGAGCACTAGCCTTGAGCAAAAAAGCTCAGGACAGCACCTAGGCCCTAAGTTCAAGCCCCAGGACTGGCTTTTTTTTTTTAATCCATTGGTGGTGACTTAATTTCCTGATCTCCAGTCTTCGTCAGTTTCACAAGTACCTCGTCTTCAGGAGCACTGTTCTGTGTTCCCAGAGGGCACTGTTCTAAGTATTCACACATGGCAATCTCAAACAACCTTAGGAGGCAGCTCTTCGTCTCATCTCAAAAAAGAATGGTACCAAGACCCAGAGAGGTTAACTAACCTGGACAAGATCACACAGCTGAGAAAAGGTGGAGCCAACCTAGAAAGTCCTTTGACTTCACAACAGGGACTTCACAACAGGAAGTTGCCCCTTGAAGGACTACTGTTATTACTCCTCATTTGACAGATTGGGAAATTGAAGCTTGGGGAAAAGAAATAGCCAGTTCCTGTTCATGCAGAAATTGAGAAACATAGGTTAGCTGGGCCGGTAGTGCATGCCTGTAATCCCAAGGCTCAGGAGTCTGAGGCAGGAAGATCTGGAGTTTGAGGCTGAACTGGCCTACACAATGAGGTTTCCAAAAAGGGGAGAAAACTAGCATGGTGGCTTACACCTGTAATCTGGGCAACTCCAGAAATGGAAATCAGGAGGATCATGGTTTGAGGTAAAATGTTACCAAGAAAATTCCCATCGCAATCAAAAAGTTGGGAATGTTGATGTGTGCTTGTCATCATAGCTGCACAGAAGGCCATAGGTAGGAGGTCAAGGGTCCAGGCTTAAGGCCAACCATGTGCAAATACTCAAGACCTGGCTGGGAAGGTGGCTCAGTGGTACAGTGCTTGCCTAGCATGCATGAAGCTCTGGATTCCATTCCTCAGTACCACATACATAGAAAAGGCCGGAAGTAGTGCTGTGGCTCAAGTGGTAGACTGCTAGCCTTGAGCAAAAGAAGCTCAGGAACAGAGCCCACATCCTGAGTTCAAGTTCCAGGACTGGCAAAAAACGCCACCTCAAGACCCTATGAAAAATAAAGCAAAAAGGCTAAGGATGGCTCAAATGATAAAGCACCAACCTAGAAAGGGCAAGTGCCTGAATTCAAACCTGAATACAACCAAAAAAAAAAGAAAAGGAAAGAAAGAAAGAAGGGAAACAAGAAAAGGAAAAGAAAGAGAAGCCACAAGTGGCACTGTGGTTCAAGTGGTAGAGTGCTAGCCCTGAGTCAAAGAGGCTCAGGCAGGCTCTGAGTTCAAGCTCTGGGACCAGCAAAAGGAAAAGAGAGAGAGAGAGAAGGGAGGGAGGGAGGAAAGCTGGCTGGGTGCCAGTGGCTCAATCCTATAATCCTAGCTACTCAGGAGACTGAGATTTGAGGATGGAAGTTCAAAGTCGCTGGGACTTTTATCTCCAATTAACCACACACACACACACACACACACACCGGAAAGGGAGCTGTGGCTCAAGTGGTAGAGTGCCAGCCTTGAGTGAAAACATCCCCTATACACCCCACCTACACACACACACACACACAATCCTAGAAGTTATCGTGAAAAACAGCAGGTGGGACTGACTATACTAGGCACTATACAAAGCAATGAAACTTTATTGCAGTCTTTCTGTGCCAGAGCCTGGCAGGGCCGCAACCTGGCGAGGAAGGCCAAGCACCGGAGGCCCCCCACGTGAAGGGGCGGGGCCAAGGGCCGTGCTGGGGGCGGGGCCGTTACAGGCCACGCCTGCTCCCGGCCCCTCCCCTATCACCAATAAGAAGCTTGTCTGCAAGCTCCCCTGGGACCGGGCTCTGGGACCTTACTCTGTCCTGGGGCCCACTAGGAGGCGAGGGTGGGGGGCAGGGGTGCTCCCCCAAAAGCTAAGACACCCCAGTAGCCTATGTACACTGTGGAAAGGTTTACCGCCCAGAACTGCAAGCCAGTGCAGCCCAAGATGGGCAGCTTGGGGGCGGGGTGGGGCGGGGCCCCAGCCCGGTCCGGACGGGGGCGGGGCCTGTCAGGACGGGGGCGGGGCCAGTCCAGGCCGGAGGGGCGGG